ACAGGAAATGCCGAGGTGACCGAGAACCAAGCTACATCATCAGAAGAGCAGACATCCCCTTCAGAGAACTCTGCGACGTCATCAGCAAAGACGTCGTTGTCGTCGTCGCCATCGGAATTGTCGTCGTCGAGCGGTTGTCGTGGCGTGAGGTTTGTCAGCGGGCACGGTGCCGGTTACAAGGCTCTATGCGTTGCCACTGGCGACGCCGACGCTTATCTGCTGTCAACGCCGTCGACATACATGTGGGATACGTGTGCGGTGCAGGCCGTCTTGTCCAGTATGGGTGGTGTGATTGTGAACTACACCGACGCGCTACACTCCGTCGTGTCATGCGGTCACGTTCCCGATTGGTCGGCGCTCCGACTACGGTACAGTTTCACCGGCATCCCAGGAGAGGACGCACCCAAGCGTTGGTGTAACACGCGTGGCTTGCTTGCGGTGCGTGATGTCTCCCTGGGGAAGCACCTGCTCTCGCTCTGCCCTGCTGCACAGGGGGCTACGTAGCGCCATGATGATTCTTGTTACATTGTCCGTCTGTGAACTGTCTTCTACCGTGTGCTTTCCTTCTCATTGTCCTTCTACGGACTGTGTGCTGCTGCTACTGTTAGTGGTGGTGGTGCTGATGGCACCCCTCAGCAGTTGTGTTTGGAGGCAGAGTTGGCGATCATCAACCACTGCCGTTTCCCTTCGCGTCCGTCCGATGACAGTCACAACCCGTCGGGAACTTGTTTGTGCTTAGTCTAGTCTTTGCTGTGCGGCACTGCAAGACAACTTGAGGTCAACAACTACGATATTTAGCCCCAGTGTGGATCAGCCTGGGGTTTTTTTCTTTCTTTCATGACTTGGCAACGGACGGCTTTCCGTATCGGTTCCAATTTATTTCTCTTTCTTGTCGCATCACTCCACTTGAAGGGCAGATACTATTTTTGACTGAATCCACAGAAGAGAGAGAGAGAGAGAGAGAGAAAAGAGAGAGAAAAGAGAGAGAAAAGAGAGAGAAAAGAGAGAGAAAAGAGAGAGAAAAGAGAGAGAGAGAGAGAGAGAGAGAGAGAGAGAGAGAGAGAGAGAGAGAGAGAGAGAGAGAGAGAGAGAGAGAGAGAGAGAGGCCAGATGGCAGATGGCAGATACTAAACCCCTGCTTTCTTGTTCATATCTAGTATTTTTTGTTTTGTTTATGTACGAGTATTTGTTGGCAAAGCTAACGCAGAAGAGACGCTATTTGACGGTGCCATCCAAACAGCTTATTCTGTATAGACTCGGTTTCGCCTATGGAAGCAAACAACTTTATTTTATTTTAATACCTTGATCTTTTTTATTGTATTTCAAAGTGACTTTATTTACTGTCCGATATGTTCCTGTCGTACTAACACATGCAGTACTAGTATACATTGTGTTACTTGGAAGTATTTACCGCCTTGCAGTGAGTGGGCAGTTGTGAATGGCATACTCTCAGCAGCTGACCCTCAACTCCTGCTGCACTGTTCCATGGGTTATTTATTATGCTCTACTGCAGCATCTGTGGATCACATGGCCGTCTACTTCTCTCTGCACCACGTGTTATTTGCTTTTTTCCAGCGTTTGTGAATCACTACTTTCCTCTGTTCCAAGGGTTATTAAATTGTACCCTGCTTATTCCAGCATCTGTGAATCAACACATCTCGGCCGGGGCGAGACTTCCATCATCTTTATGTGTATGTGTTGTACGACAGTGCTGCCTTTATGCCAGCTGATACAGAGAGCTGGGGTCGGGGATATGACTGTACTGTACATCTCGCTCACATAGGCTGCATGACTTTTGGGGAAATGTACTGTAGTACAGCTGCCTAGCCCAGCCTGCATGAGAGTTGGGGAAGTCTACTGTACATCTCTCTAGCCTAGGCTATCCTGCAGGAGAGTTGGGAAATGTACAGGACTTAGTAGTGTAGATTTCCCCAGCCCGCCCAGGCTGCATGAGTGCATGTTGTTGCAGGTTATTTCCTGCTGTTGCTGTGCCGGCCATCATGACTTCCCTCCGGAACGGAGGTGACCACTTGCCTCCCTCTTTTCAGGCGTAGCGTTCTGGCGTACAAGGTTTGATTCTGCTGTATGCATGCGGTAATCACGGTTATCAGCATGTAGAGTTCTTATAGTGCACTCAGGGCCAGGCAGTAGTATGAGTAGGGACGGTTATGTAGGGTGGTGCTCTCTAAGCATGAGAGTCCAGGCAGACCAGACTCCAGTGTGGTATTCCTGAGGCCAAGAGTACATAAACCCCAGGGGTTATGTACTCTTGCTGTGGCACAGACTGTAAAGTGTAATGTAGGGTGGTGCTCCAAGCATGAGAGAGTCTAGGCAGACCAGACTCCAGAGTGGTCTTCAAAGGCTGTTATGTAGGGTGGTGCTCTAGTTTAATTAACTCTAAGCATGAGAGCGTAGTACTAGGTAGACCAGACTCCAGTGTGGTATTCACAGGCAGTGAATTCCCGTTACCATACTAGGCTGTGGCATGGACAGTACCGTACTGGCAATATATGTTGCCGCGTAACGCGTAACGCAGGGGGGTGCGGCGTAACGCGCGACCAGGCTAGTGCGACAAATTTTCGTTGAGTTCGTAACGCGCGTCCGGCGGGGTGCGGCGATCTTTTCATTGCAAAAAAGGCTGAAAACTGTGAAAGCACGTGTACCGCGTGGTGAAAAGTTCAAAACTGGACGCAGCAGGAAGTCCTGCAATAGCAAAAAAAGGACTGCGGCAATATAGAAACCTGTGTAACGGCTCCTGTGCGACTTTGCATGTAACGCCCTGCGTGCGGTAAACATGTGCCAATGTAACGCTTCATGGCCTCACTGCGGCAACATATATTGCCAGTACGGTAGTACAGTTCTGCCCAATGAAATCCAGTCGCGGCACTCGAGCATGCGCCGGGTGCTGCGCAGCCATACACCTGCGAACAATGCGCTGAGAAATGGAGCAAGGCGCACTCGTTACTTGAGTATTATACGCGACTGGATTGCATTAAGCAGCACTTGCATTGTACAGTCAGACCTCGCTTTATCCGCACACATCCGTTTTCCACCAAAATATCCGGATAGGTGAGGGAACCAAATAATCGAACGCCCATACGTATGTATGCATGACATGGCAATCAGCATTTTCTTCCGGATGGCGAGGGATCCGGATAAAAGAGGACCGGATAAGCGAGGTCTGACTCTATTGTGTAAAACATTGCATGTAATATCATAATAGGTGTGATGTGTCTGTTCAGCGATCGACTGTTGCCCCGTGGACACCCGTTCTCAGTTCGCACACCATCCAGAACTTGAACCTGGTCTTGACTTGTAAAGCATCGACTTCCCGGTTGCTATGAAACAAGATCCCTTGGGTCGCTCTAACCCCGATCACACGGATGAACACCACCTGGCTGCCAGCGGCCTTACAGCTATAATACTGTACTCGTATTCATGTAGTAACAGGCTACTGAAAAAAACTCACCCAAACAGGGGCCCAGTACTGCATGCGGGAGACAAGGACAGTAGACGGAGCTGGCCTGGAGGTGCCTGTAAAATATTACTTACATACATGTAATTTTTTTGTACTTGCCTTGGTGGTCCGGATAAGAAGAGAGATTGTGGAAAACAATCTGTGTTGTCATGACTTTAAAAAAATCTTTCCCGGTTGTGACCATGGGGACTGACTTTCACTGACTCACGTGACGTGACTAAAAATTGAGTCCGTGACCATGGTGACTGTGAGCGATGCAGTGACAACTGATGTATAGCCCGACTATGAGTATGAGTATGACTGATGACTCTGACTCAGTATGCAGCTTCGCGGTGCTGGTGTTGATCTACATGACTGTATACATGTACTTGTCAGTCGGCAGAAAAAGCCCATCGGCATCGCCAGATTATGCAAACAGAAAAAAAGTCAGCCGAACAGCGCCAAGATCAAACTCCACTCGTGCTCAGCATGCCAGTAAACTCTGCACTGAGTCTGTACTGAGTCTGTACTGTAGTGTAGGATACAGTAGCTGTGCGTTCAAGTGTGCTAACGACTAACGTCGTAACGAAGGGAACGAAACTGCTGGGTCGATCCGTTTGTCGAATGAAAGCTCAATGAACTCGAACTATGGTTGGGAGAACATGGAGCTGCTGATGGGTCTAGCTGGGTGGTGAGATTTGCACAGCTGAAGGCAAGGCCAGGCTGAGTGACATTCTGTGTCCAACATTCACAAATAATTAATTGACATTGAATGAACGAAGGAGGAGGAATGGAATAGACGGTTCAGGGGACGTTAGTACTCGACCTGGACCGGTGTGCCTTCTCTACCGGGTAGGCACTAGCTATGTCTTCGACCAGTGAAGCCTGGACGATGACGTTCAGCGCTCAGCACCATGATCAAATCCTCGCCCCGTCGTACGACGCAGCGGCCGATGGTCCCAGGCGGTGCGGCGACGATTCCGTTCCATTCCTACTCTGCGTGAAGAGCTTGCAGGGTCTGTCCGCTAGGCAGGTGTTGCCCGCTAGTAGCGGTGACCCAGCGGAAACTCATATCTCCAGTATGCTGCATAGGTCGCTTTCTGGTCGCAAGGTGAGGACGGCTGGGTGGGTGGGTGGTGGTGGGGTGGCATAAAGTCTTGAGTCTGCTCCTGGTGGGTGCTTTCTCATACAGTACTACAGTACCAAGAGTACAAAACCAAGTGTGCAACTCCTATCTTGAGCTGCGATGGGTTCACCATCCATGAGCTGGTAGATCGTGGAATTGCACACTCTTGGTTACCATGGTTATGTACTCTTGCTAGTATCGTATGCACTTGCAAACCAGGGACTCGTAGCATACAGGGAGACGACAAGAGATCGTAGCATACAGGGAGACGACAAGAGATCGTAGCATACAGGGAGACGACAAGAGATCGTAGTATCCGACACAATGTGCCTTTCAAGCCCGGATCCGTGACTGTTCGACGTGATCCCTGGTCTGTGCAACTTGAGATCGCGCCCTTGACCTGCTGGCCCCAAGCACGACCCAGACAAGCCGACCCGGAGCCAGCTCCTGTAGGAAAGGGCCGATCATTTACCCATGCCCCAATTGCCCGAAAGTTAATATGTGTCCACGAATTTTGTTGACTTGCAGTACTGACCGTATGTTGTTTTGTCTCCATATTCCCTGCGCAATGCATACAGGATTCCGTTACGTCACAGAAGACGCTACGCGTGTCGATGAGTATGTTCTCAGCTGACCGTGGTACTTTCCTGGGCAGAACATGGAGTGGTGATGCGGTACTCTGGGAAGACCAGAGCTCCGCAATACAGCAGGTCAGATGTGTGTGTGTGTGTTTGTGTGTGTGTGTGTGTGTGTGTGTGTGTGTGTGTGTGTGTGTGTGTGTGTGTGTGCATGTGTGTGTGTGTGTGAGTGTGTGTGTGTGTGTGTGTGCGTGTGTGTGTGCGTGCGTGTGTGCGTGCGCGTGCATCTGTTCAATCTCTGGACATCGACTGGCCCAGTGAAAGTCTAGTGACCAGCAAAACATGGGAAATGTGTGATACAAGGAAAAAATTGGAGGCATATCCAATTTCGAAAGAAGTGACAGCACCGGCGCAATCCACACAGTCAAGTAAGCCAATTTAGTAACCGAACATTTTCGGTCCCTTCTCATCATTGGTTAAGTACAGGGAATAATGATGAGAAGGGAACGAAAATGTTCGGTTACTAAATTCACTTTACTTGACTGTGTGGATTGCGCCGGTGCTGACACCCTTTCTTTCGAAATGTGTGATTTGTGTTTTGTGTGTGTTTTGTGCGCGTGCTTGTGTGTGTGTGTGTGTGTGTGTGTGTGTGTGTGTGTGTGTGTGTGTGTGTGTATGTGTTTGGTCAATTCTTCAGCCTTGAAAGCTGTTGAATGGTGCAATCCTAGTACAAGTTGCTATGGCTTCTGCTGTAGCATTGCAATCATCGCCTCCGGCGATGGTCGTCAAATGGTCAAGTGGTCAAATGGTGTGTGTCTACATGTTTGAATGTTGATGTGTCTCCATATGCATGTATGTGTATGTGTGTTTCTGCTTGTGTATGTGCATGTGCGCATGCGTATGTGTATGATTGCCTGTATAGAACGTGGTTTTCCACACAAGCTGCCAGGATCTGTCGTGTCACATTGTTCTAGAGTTAGGTAAGTAGCAGGCCTACAGGAACCTGTCCAGTTGGTCTGGTTATAACCGGACCAATTTTTTCGGCCACCAACACAATCATGTTTACTACTGTGGAGGTCATGTGTACCAGCCATATACTACACAAACTGTATGAACGGCCATGATGCTACCGGACCCATCAACAACTGTTTCCAGCGGTCCTGAGTAGCACAGTCAGCCCTCCCGTAACCGCCACACATCCGTTTTCCACAAGAAAATCTCCGGATAGGCGAGGAAACACGATAACTGAACACACCATGGCATGCTGTATATGCACATGGCATATCAAAAAGGGTGGTATCGTACATACATGGGGTGGCATATCAACATGGGGTGGCATCGTACATACATGGGGTGGCATCGTACATACATGGGGTGGCATCGTACATACATGGGGTGGTATCGTACATACATGGGGTGGCATATCAACATGGGGTGGCATATCAACATGGGGTGGCATCGTACATACATCTATACAGGTCCTATACAGTAAACTGACTAGTTGACTTTTGTTATTAGTTTGCTTTACACCTGTTATAAGTCATTACGTATGATTTATAATGCAGTGGCAGTACCAGGCGTGGGCCATCCCCTGGATTATCAAAATGGGTGCCTTATCATTTTTCTGTTGTTTTTACACTTCTTCGTGTTTTAAGTAAAAAACAAAACAAAACAAAAACTAGTTGACTAGCGTATACAATATGTAAAACAAGCCAGAAAAATGACAAGTGCATGCAACTGAGTGCTATCCGCATGCATCCAGCAGGTCGAGGACCTCATTTGCTTGTACAACTCCCTGATTCAAGCTTCTGCAAGCCACGCGCAACCGGATACCACGAAGCGTTTTGTACACATTTCAACCAGTTTGTACACAAAGTCATGCACCGGTATGCGGATCGCGTTGTATGCGTAACGTATGCTGCACATCGGTAGCCAGTGATTTTCTTCCGGATGGCGAGGGTTCCGGATAAAAGCTGACCGGATAAGCGAGGTCTGAGTGTAGCACTGGCAGCTTGGTAATACCAACACACACATAACATACAGATACAGGAGTGTAAACAATGCTTCCACACATTCTGTGTTTTCATGCTGTGTATTCAGTGGTAACACAGTTAGGGCTGAAACAATTATACCGATAACTCCCTGCTAGCATTCGTGACGTCTCCTCCCGACCTGCTTTCAAACAAGAAATCTGCTCACTGCTGATTAACTCAATCTGCTCCTGCAGCGCTCACCCTCTCCCATACTTGTAAAATTCAAAGTGATGTAAATCACGTTCCAACTGCATAACCCACAATCTCACCTTCTCATAAATTTATCTCTTATTGGCGATGGTGCCATCGTGAGAATAAAGAATTCAAACAAACTCGCATATCGATCGTTAAGAGTGCATAATCGTTAGCGTTCAAAACGAGTGCTAACGATTGCTTATGCATGTATATCAGTGACAGCCCTTGCACTCCATCCGATAGTGGATACGAGTGCAACCATGTACTTCCAAGCGCAGTAAAATTGATTTGTGGCTTTGAAAGAGATCGGGAGAGAAGACTTTGCCCTTTTGGTTCATTTGTAGGAGAAGTCGGAGATGAGAAAAGTTGCCAGAGGGTGATGACAAGATTCTTTGCTCTAGAAACAACATGAAAATCTCTACTTGAGTACTAGTAGTTCATGTTCGATAGAGCTAACAAAAATCGATAAAACCAATTATTATATCTGTTGTGAACCCTCTGGTTCTCTAAAGTGTCAGGAACGAACGACTCCACACGGCACGAGGACAACTATTTATTCTCAACAGTACATTTCACTTCCATCGACTAATAACAATGAATGAAATGAATAATTAACACTAAAACAACCAGGTAGTTATAGCGTGAAAATGACAGCGTATATGAGAAAAGCATACACATACAACATACAACTACAGCGCACACAGCAAACCGCACATAGCGCATATAGCGTATACTACGTCGTAATCATCAGCGGTACGGCGGAGTCGGGATACAACTGCATTGAAACGAACACAATGTCATAAGCGAGAAGGCCTTTCACTCTCGAGAACTTGTGGTTTCACAACAATATCGATCGTTAATGACATTGGCTGATCGTTAGGAGTTATGGAATGATCGTTTCAGCCCTAGCTAACACTTGTTTTCGACAATACCCATGAATGATACAGAATTCAGTTCAACACAGTGACATCAGCACAGTGTTATCTCAGCTTCTCTAGGACGATGGCACCACACGGGAGTGATGGAGTGGCTTTCTTTGGGTTTTCAGAAATATAACTCCCTCCCTAATTGTCTAACTCGGATGGTGAGCCAAATAAATTATGGTGAAAACAGGAGGACAAAATCACGGAGGACAAAATGTGATTTTGTCGCACTCGCTGATTGTATAAGATCTGGTTACATTGGTGGACAGTTAGTCATAACTCGTAACATTTTGTCCTCCTTTTTTTCTCCCTAATTGTCCTTTCTCTTTCATCCTTATGTAGTCCTTGGGGATCGTACAGGACCAGTATGTATTGGCTGGACGTTTATCCCACTGGCCGAACTGTTCAACGCAGCTATGGCTGAAGACGGTGATACATCGGCCACCATGCCTCTCAGGTACTGATTGGACATGTAGACTATGTAGTGAAACCTGTCTAAGACGACCACTCAAGGGACCTTGAAGATGTAGTTGCTGTGTACAGGTGATCTCCTTATCCAGGTTCATTTGCTTCGAAAAAAGCTGTGTGGGACCCTGGCTAGCGCCAGACGTTACTGAAGTAACGTCTTTTGCATAGCTACGGGAATAACATGCCTGGCCCTAGCTGTAGTGGTCGTCTGGGTCAAGCAGTCGTCTTGATAGTTTATTTATTTATTTTTTTACAGCAGATGTACAAGTACACAGTAGACTGTTACTTCTCTGTTACCATAGTGACCAATGCGGAAAACTGCAGATTTTCCTTACAACTAAGGTGGAACGAGGCTTTGCTATGACTCACTTTTCATGCTAACGCAATCATCAGGCAATGAGCATTCTGATATCAAAGGGAGAAAATAAGCTGGATGTATTGTACTCAATGCTTCAGATACTTTTATATGCTGTTTAGGACAATGGGATGAATCGCGCCTTTTCCGTGCAAGAACTTGCTAAAACTGATTTTCTCTTGGCATTCGCTACATAGTAATGATGTAGGTGGTTGTCTGACAATGCCCTAGCTCACTCAGTTGTTCACTTGATGTTTGTCTTCACCTCCGGCCATTCGGTTGCTTTGTCTTAGGTTGAAGCTGTACCACGGTACACCTCGGTGTTTGCTGTTCATGGAGTCACCCTACGATAGTAAGTAACTACAAGTACTAGCCACAGGCCGTGGTATGTTGGGGACGTTTGTAGCCTTTGGGAATTGCTCTCTTTGCATCTCATGCCTTTGCAGGGGTGCCGGAAGGTATTTAGGGTGGCACCGTCCATCACCCCAACGGTACAATTTACTCGTGAAGTTGAGGAGGCTCCCCTGAAATTTTCCGAGATTTAGAGCCCAATCCTTCAGCGCATATTCTTGATTCACGGGGTACCTGGGACAAAAAGTTGTACGGTCAATATCGTAGTGACCGCAGCGTGTCCAACGCCCCTGCTTTGGTTTCACGTACCGTCAACCTTATGAATAGTGACCGGCTTGGTACAACAACAAGAACAACAACAGTTACCCATGAATATTGATCTCGGGTTTGTGGGCATGCGTGTGTGCATGCGTGTGTGCATGCATCCGTATGTGACCGCTTACACATCTCCGCACCGCACACAGGGACCAGCTACTTAAACATCAAACTGGTTCTTCACTGAGTATCTTGCAATAATGCAGTCATAAGGAGACCAAGCTTGCGTAATGCTTCCGTATTCCTTTCCTCCATAACCGTACATGTTTGCCTGTAGGTGAGCGTCGTCTGGTGTCACGCATCGGTACAGAGCTGATCTGCTCTCTAAGCATCCACACAGCGCTGTTCCAAGCCATGTCGTACATCAGTGCTGATACATTCTACGCTGCCGGTGCTATTGTGCCGGGACTACGGCTGCCCTCAGCCAACACAGGTCTGTCATTGAAATAGCTGGGTATTGGGTTATCAAAATTCATTGAATCGTGTTTTAACAGTTATACTGGTGAATCAACTGAACACGAACGTGTGGGGACGAGAGAATGTTTCCTTTGACTGATATATCGTTCTTCTCACGATGGCTCTAGCCAATAAGGGAGCTAGAAATCTGCGCTGGCAAGCAGGTTGTAGTGGGTAGGATGTGTAGTATGGGCTATCGTAAAATAGGGAATATGTTTGTTAGAAATGTGTGTTCAAGTACTGCTCGGTTTTGGATATCAGGAACCGTTCACGGTTATGACTTGCTGATTCCTATTTGCAGCTACCACCATATCAACTTTGATGTGTCTGGTTGTGTGTGTGTGTGTGTGTGTGTGTGTGTGTGTGTATGACGGTGTGGTCGTATGTGTATGTGTGTCTGGATGTGCATGTGCAGCTCCGTTGCAACGTCCCAAGCTTCTTCCCACTCACTCGGTAACCCTACACAAGGTACGGCGGAATGGTGGACTGTATGGCGGCCACTCCTGTTACTCGCGTTTTTTTAGAGCAAATACAATCAATTTCTAGTGTGTCCTCAGTAAAGAGATTTTACGGAAAGCAAATTGATTGATTTTGCTTGCATACTTGTCAGGTAGGCAGGAAAATGGGATGGTCAAAGACCTCGATTAAGAAACAGAGACGGCACCAGGTTCAAGTCCTGCTTGGAAGCAGAAGGATGTTTTTCCAGCCATGCTGCGACCCACAGTTAATTGAGAATTCGTGGCCTGGCGTGAGGGAACCATGGATGCTGCAGTGAATGGGATTTTCGGTTTTTGACCACTTTGTGGTGGGTCTGATCAACTCACCTCCCACCGCTTTAGGAGCTGTATCTGCGCCTTGATCCCTGAAGGTGGTGGCGTTTCTACGGTTGCGAAAAACTCTCTAGCCGAGTGTGACACGAACCATGACATTTTATGATTATTTTGTATACTTGTCACGTTACTCGTGTGTGTAAGTGTATACGTGTGTGTGTGTACGTGTGTGTGTGTGTGTTTACTTGTGTGTGTACCCCTGCAGCTGCAGCTGAGACCCACCTTACTGTCCATGGATGAACTGGAAGAGCAGGTGACCAGTGCTGCCGTGCGATTGGCCGTTGCCAAGGTGAGTATCATGTGACATGTGTGACATGTGTGGCTTGTGTGGAGCGTGACTAGTTTGTCCAGTGCTTTAGAAGCAAGTATTGCTGGAGGGTTTGAATGCTTTCAGTCAAGGTTCTCACACTATCGCCAGCCAATGCAAGCGTGGGCAGATGTTGCGTGTTTGCTTACCACTACAGTGTACCACTATAGGGCAAGTCTCTTTTTTGGGGCAAGTCTCTTTTTTGGGGCAAGTCTCTTTTTTGGGGCAAGTCTCTTTTTTGGGGCAAGTCTCTTTTTTGGGGCAAGTCTCTTTTTTGGGGCAAGTCTCTTTTTCGTTGTAACATCTCACTACATGTACTGCTGTTAGGCTGGTGTATACAGTCATGTACATGCATTCTTGTATGCACGTCTGCATGCACACTCAAACATGTACATACATTCTTGTATGCACGTCTGCATACACACTCAAACATGTACATACATTCTTGTATGCACGTCTGCATACACACTCATACATGTACATACATTCTTGTATGCACGTCTGCATACACACTCATACATGTACATACATTCTTGTATGCACGTCTGCATACACACTCATACATGTACATGCATTCTTGTATGCACGTCTGCATGCACACTCAAACATGTACGTGCACACACATATTATGTACATACACACTCGCCCCCTCCTCCTCCGCCTCCCCCCCCCCCACACACACATACACTCACCCACGCCCACAATTATAATAGTGACTTGGCTCCTGAATCTGTACGAGTTCTGCTGCGACGTAATCTGTCATACTTGCCCGCACTGTTTGTGTTTCTTTTCCGTTTTCTGTGTGTACCAGTCTCTCTTTCCGAATATGGATGTAGTGTCAGCTACGGTCCTGGAGAGAAGGCTCAAGGTACGCACGTTTTTTCATTTTTTTACTATCAACACAGCCCTGCTGGAACACAGGTGGAGAACAAAAAGAAACGAGGAACAGGACAAAACATAGGGGATGTAGGGACGACGTGCCGATGTGCTGGGAGCAATTCAACCAACCAGAGGTATTGGCGTCAACGTTGCAACTAGGCATCGACAAAATGGGGGGGGGGGGGGGTTGCACAAGAACAACTGCAAAACAAACAGAAGCTAGAGAATACCACAAAAATACTTGGTGCGAAATAATGAGAAGAACTATTGCGAAGTGTATGTACTTCATTGAAGTAGCAAACATACAATACAAACGCTGAGACTCGAGTCAGAGTGAAGTCTACCATGGGCTACCGTGCGTAGTCTAGTCGTCGTCAGCAACACGGTACAATGTTTATGCATTCAAATTGAGAGATCTAAGTCGAGTCGCGCGTGTGCGGTATGTACCGCACCAGGGAGTCGTATAAACCCCTCTCTGCAGCTCACGGACTTCGCCCGCCCGCGAATATTCGAATTTTCGAACCTTCCACCTAGATTTTAGCCGATCGGTTATTTTTGAGGTCGAAGAGATCGAGGAAACTCTAACTGTATTGTAGTGTAGGACCTCTCTAACTGTATTGTAGTGCAGGACCTCTCTAACTCTATTGTAGTGTAGGACCTCTCTAACTCTATTGTAGTGTAGGACCTCTCTAACTCTATTGTAGTGTAGGACCTCTCTAACTGTATTATAGTGTAGGACCTCTCTAACTGTATTATACATGTATCTAATTGCAGTTCTGGAATGGACAGCAGCCAACACAGTTGTTTCATATCTATCACATGACCTCGTGGGACAGACATGTTGGTTTCAACTCCACTCAACCCCCTGCATCTATGGGTCACATGATGTCGGTGGCCATGTTGGTTCCACTATACACATGACATGGTCACTTCCTACACACACATAGTCACATGACAAAGATTTGAACCACTGTACAGCACGGACAATGATGTCACAATGCATGCCTGACATAGGGTTATACTTATAGGGTACAAGGTTCTGGCCAAGGGATGGGGAGGGGGGGGGGGAGGTAGGGGGCTCCACCCCCCCCCCCTCCCCTCCCCCACCCAATACACCCCGACTGCCCCCACAATATTTTCCCGTCTCGAACCCCGGTCTACCTTGTACGCAATCTGTGTGTGTGTGTGTGTGTGTGTGTGCCTGTGCGTGTGTGTGTGTGTGTGTGTGTGTGCATGTGCGTGCGTGTGTGTGTGAATGCAGATAGCGTATCACAATGGACACGCGTTTGTTCGAGAACCACAGACGGTGCTGCTTGACGTGACTGTCGGCAAACCCAGCAGCAGAGGCTCTGTTTCACGCAAGTCAACAGTCTCCCCTGGTAACGCACCCAGCGGGGCAGCGTCGTCATCGTTACGGGGCAGTCGGCGCTTGGCAACGCAGTCGTCCGTTTCGCCCGATTCCATTCTGCAGTTGTCAGGGCAACTGGAGGTTCATGACGTCATGGAGTCGGATCAGTTTGCGCTGGTGTTCCTGCTGGAGTATGTCGTCTCCCTTCGGTCCACCGTGCAGCCTCCTAGCAACCCAGCTGCCTTGGCAACCAAGTCATCAATTCACAAAGTGAGTATGCGTGGGTGGGTGGGTGTGACCAGTTTTGGCAGTGAGCAACAAGTGTGTTTGTGTGTATACTTGTATAATTATGTGTGTGTGTGTGTGTGTGTGTGTGTGTGTGTGTGTGTGTGTGTGTGTGTGTGTGTGTGTGTGTGTGTGTGTGTGGAACTACCGGAGCGTCGGCACCGGCGGAGGGATGTTGTGCCGCGCATTGTGACAGGTGTGGTCGCTGCTTTCGCGGTGTCCGGGGACGGGGAAGGCATCGCTGTTCAAGGGTGGCGCATAGACCAACAGCAGAGGAGCGCTCAGCCTTCCAGCACGTGTGCATATGCGGCAAGCGGATGCGACTACCCGTGCACCTGGAGCGTCATCGAGCGTCGTGTCCTCTCTCTCTCTCTTCTCAAGTTTCCCAGTGATGGGATCACGTGACCCTTTTGCGGCAGTGACTCTACAGGACAAGACAGGACAGGTGTGTGTGTGTGTGTGTGTGTGTGTGTGTGTGTGTGTGTGTGTGTGCGTGCGTGTGTGTGTGTGTGCACGTGTGCATGTGTGTGTGTGTGTGTGTGTGTGTGTGTGTACGTGTGTGTGTATGTGTGTGTGTGTGTGTGTGTGTGTGTGTGTGTGTACGTGTGTGTGTGTGTGTGTGTGTGTGTGTGTGTGTGTGTGTGTGTGTGTGTCGCACTTACATGTATTATGCTGCTACTGCAGAAAGTCTCCCGTGCTAATTCCGTAGCAACAAACCCCAAGGAGATCATCTCTATTCCCGTAGCACACAACGCATGGTCATTCCCAGCCGCTGGTGCCATGGCAACCGCACGAAGTCCGGACGGTAGCGGTCGCCAGGCAACACTTTGCTTGCTGTCGTCATGTCGAGTAGATGCAGGGAATTTGTTTGTTGTCAGCACTGCTCAAGATACCAACCAAAAGGTGAATGCTCTCTTGAACCCAGAATATATTCAGCCGGGTTTTGAGTATTTCTGTCGGATTTAGCATTGATATTTGTGCAATTATGCTGGTCTAAATCCCAATTCCGGCCAAATTATGCAATGTAATTGGGTATTTGAGCCTAATGCGGCCAAAAATGGACGTGGAAAGGGGTCGGAGATCAACTATTTTTTGACTGGACTGTAGGCATGGGGTTTTGAGTAGAATCCCGGCCTTAACATATTGTCTGTACGTACAGTTAAACCTGTCAATGTGACCACTCGGATAAGGCGACCACTTCAACCAGGATCAAGAGATGCTATTTCCAGTCGAATGACCCTGGATAAGGAGACCGCCTGGTAACAGAGACCATGTGTTCAAGGTCCCTTGAGCGGTCGTCACCTTAGACAGGTTTAACTGTATTACATTGAGACATTGTCTGATGATCGCTGACATGCGTGAAACTTCAAGTTACAGCTACTCAGCCCTTCACATTCACTGTATGTGTGTTGTAGTACGTTATGCCTTATAAGGCATCTACTACATGTGTATGCAGCTCTGTACATTCGCACATCAAGCACTCTACTTCGAGCTGCGTCAGCCGGCCTTGTCTGTAATCACAATACTGCAGTTGGCATGTGAAGCGAAGGACAGGATTTTACTTAAAACCCATAACTGTCTATTGGACGTAGTTAATTAATAAATAATGATTATACATGTCAAGGTTTCTGGAACGCTCTTGCCAGCTTGTTGCATGTCACGAGCAGCCCATACTAACTAAGGATATGTGTGTGTGTGTGTGTGTGTGTGTGTGTGTGTGTGTGTGTGTACGTGTGTGTGTGTGTACGTGTGTGTGTGTATGTGTGTGTGTGTGGGGGGGGGGGGGGTATGTGTGTGTGTGTGTGTGTACGTGTGTGTGTGTGCGTGCATGTGTGTGTGTACGTGTGTACGTGTGTGTACGTGTGGGCGTGCATGCATGTGTGTGTATTCACTTGCTCTTCAATGTTGCTCGCAGAGTATACAGGGTATGATGTTGGAATTCCAGTACTCTCAACTTGTAAGTAGAATGAGTGAGTGCCAGTACTCTCAACTTGTAAGTAGAATGAGTGAGTGCCAGTACTCTCAACTTGTAAGTAGAATGAGTGAGTGCCAGTACTCTCAACTTGTAAGTAGAATGAGTGAGTGCCAGTACTCTCAACTTGTAAGTAGAATGAGTGAGTGCCAGTACTCTCAACTTGTAAGTAGAATGAGTGAGTGCCAGTACTCTCAACTTGTAAGTAGAATGAGTGAGTGCCAGTACTCTCAACTTGTAAGTAGAATGAGTGAGTGCCAGTACTCTCAACTTGTAAGTAGAATGAGTGAGTGCCAGTACTCTCAACTTGTAAGTAGAATGAGTGAGTGCCAGTACTCTCAACTTGTAAGTAGAATGAGTGAGTGCCAGTACTCTCAACTTGTAAGTAGAATGAGTGAGTGCCAGTACTCTCAACTTGTAAGTAGAATGAGTGAGTGCCAGTACTCTCAACTTGTAAGTAGAATGAGTGAGTGCCAGTACTCTCAACTTGTAAGTAGAATGAGTGAGTGCCAGTACTCTCAACTTGTAAGTAGAATGAGTGAGTGCCAGTACTCTCAACTTGTAAGTAGAATGAGTGAGTGCATAGCACTATAGTATATACCTCTACACTCCGTTCCAAAGAGCAAGCTGGAGAAACTAGGAGCTGGACTTGAATCACTAGGGGGGGGGGGGGGGTTGCAGAGCCATTGGAAGCTGCCCTGTTGTATAACGATCTATTGTTTTCCTGTGTGATGGCATTCTCCAAACTGTCTTCGTCTAGTCGCGTGCATGTGTGATATGAGCATGTTGTTATTTCTAACACCTTTCTATTTACAGTATTTAATTTCAGTTTCTTTGGTTGTATCCTTAGTTCCGTATTTTTTCCCACTGATGATAGGAACAAGAAAATCGATTCTGGGTTTTCAATAATATTTTTGTTATAAAATACACAGTAAATACATGTCAAACAAGTAACGTAGTTGCGTGATGTCTGCGGCCTTCATCCTATTCATAGCTATACAAGTGTATGGGTTCAGTTATTTCTCTCTCTCTCTCTCCTGTCTTTGTCTTCTCAACACACAGTCTCCATTCTCCACAATGAGTTCAGCCACACCGCTGGGCACACAGCGATCAACCCAGCCATCACCATTGCTGGACCAAACCACCATTGCTACCGGCACTGCAGTGCTGGGAGCTACAGCGGCATCACGACGAGATGCCAGTCAACGTCGCAAAGACTGGCGCACATCCACGGTGGAACCGGAAGTGTTGCCAAAGGACATTGTTGCCGTGGGCGATTCACTGGCGTTTGATCGAGACGAACTTCTACCCTTGGCGGAGTAAGTCCATATTTCCAAAAGTTGTGGAAGTCTAGTAGCATGCTTTGGTTGTGCTTTGTAATGATATTTTTAATATGATTTGACGGAAGTGCGGACAATGCAAAGTTTGAATGAAGTGAATGAATACTTGCTCTTGTCCATGCATTTACACAGTGCGCTAACCCAGCCATTTAGATAGCAGTGAGTCTAATGCTGTATTTCTGCTGCAGACATGTGTGTCTGTGTGTCTGTCTGACCGCCTGTCTGTATATATGTACACTTATGTATGTCTGTTTGTCTGTTTGTCTGTTTGTCCATCTCTTTGCTTGTGTGCCTACCTATCCGTCCATCCGTCCGTTCATCTGTCCGTCCGTCTGTCTGTCTGCACACATGTCTGTATTTGCTGAACGTGTTTCAGCCATGGCACCAGCACTGCACAGTCCTCCTATCCCAGCACAGCACAGTCCTCCTATCCCAGCACAGCACAACACTCAACAATGGCTACTGCAACACACAGTGAAGTAAGAAATGAAAAAAAAACGGAAAGGGGAAAGGTGGTGGGAAGGGGGAGAGGAAAAGGAAATGGGAAAAGGGGAAAGAGCGAAGGGGAGGGGGGGGGGGCTGTCCATGCAACACATACCAGGGTCACATGGCTATAGAGTGAAACCAGTCATTTCCGAACACCCTTGCTTGGTGCAGTGGAAACTGTCCTGATATGACAGGATTCTGCTTAGTCCAGGCATGCACGTTCAATCCACAGCACTTTGGTGCATGAAGATTTGTCCGGTCAATACAGGATTCCGCTTAGTACAGGGTCCGGTCAATACAGGATTCCACTTAGTACAGGGTCCGGCAAACACTTGTTTCACAGTATTGTCCATCGTTGATTCTGTTGAAAGGTAGTCCATTTGAACTCTGACCACATAAGTCAGGTTTTGCATTCCGAATTTCGGTTCGGCATTCTTCGGTCATTTGTCGAACATCAAATGTCGAATTTTTGAACGAACGTTTGTTTTGCAAGTCGATCATCATGTGTTTTAATTTCGTGAGCTCCAGCATCACCAACGTCCTGTTTGGTGTTCCTTTTCTTGCTGATTCCAACGAACCTTTGATGGACCAAAGAGTCGAGAGCCAAATCTGCCTCCTCAGTTGCCTCAGAAGAACTAACTCCATGGCATGTTAAAGTCAAATTTTATGCATATCGCCTTGTCTTTTCAGCCACACAAATGATGGTGAGAACACTCCAGGCGAAAGGGAGTAGACTGGCAATGGATAGGAGCAATCAGAGGTAGCTGATGATGCTGATGTCGCCAAAGACGGCTGCGAAGCCATGCCGAGATAAGAAACCTCTTTGGATAAATCACCCGCTAGCACTCTTCTACAATGAAATTCTTCCGAAAAATACTTTCGACATTGACTTTGGTTAATCACCAAAATGGGATTGCTTTGTTGTGTTCTGTATCCTTTGTCCTATTTCCCTCAGTCTGATCTGCAGCAGCCAGGTGCCACGTCACTACGGGCAACCGATCACCGCCGTGACACTCTGGAAGAGTCCATGGAGCAGGTAACCATGGTGACTACCTACACCACGGCAGCATCGGCCAGTGCAGCGGGTAGCAGAAGACATGCCGCGGGACTAGCTGCCACCAGTATCGGTGCTGATCGCCATGACAACCAAGCGTCGGAGTTCCCGGCAGCAGCACGGCAGCAGGCAATGCCCCATCCTGCACCAATGATAAGCGGGTAAGGTTCATAGCAAGAGTCCATATCCCCCAAGAGTGTGCAACTGGCATTGAAGGACACAATGAAGGAATTCCGCCGAGTGGACTTCCATACAGGGACTGATCAGGAGTTGCACACTCTTGGGGATTATGAGCTCTTGTTGATAGTTGACAAAACCAGAATAGCCCAGAGGGGAATGCAGCATCTAATAGTGAGGGATGAGTTTCACTGAGCCACTGGCACACAGGTAGTGAGGGATGAGTCCCATGGTCACTCGCACATAGGCTGAAAACCCGCCCAGTCGTCACACCCATGTGCCTCTTGTGAAGTTGTGCCTGGCCACCGTTGAAATTCCCAGTTGACTGTGGTTAGTAGCGCAGCTGGAAATCCGCTCCCAGGCAGGACTTGAACTAGGTACCTCTTGCTTCTAGGTATCATGGTCCTAGGTCAAGGCACTGTGCCTGCTGCTTGGCTGTGGCATTCTGGAAGAGGCTGCCGTCGTGAGCTCAATCGGAAATGGAGACGGCATATGCTATTGTTTTAAACAATCAACACCTCTCTAAGCGTGGGAGTGTGGGTAATGGGGTGAGCAGTTAACAGTGCATTCATATCCAAGTCTCAGAGAATGCATGGACAGACGCACAGACATGGACAGACGCACAGACATGGACAGACGCACAGACGCATGCATATCTCTCAGAGAATGCAGTGCACACTTGTAAGTCATTTTCGGCATTGGCCTCAAGTTTCACAGCGAAAACCAAAATCGAATTCGGTAGAATTGACTCATCCATACATCCGTTTTGCTGGGCCTCTGCTTGTTGCAACGTGCATGCTTCCGTATATGTCTACGCGTGTGTGTGTATGTCCATGTGCGTGCGCAATGCCGTGTGTGTATGTGTGTGTGTGTGTTCATGTCTGTGCGTCTATGCGTCGGTCCATGTCCGTGCATCTTTCCATGTGTGCATGTTTCTCCATATGTGTATGTGTGAGCATGTCCATATGTGCATGGTATGTGCATGCATGTGCATACTTGTATAATTATGCCCATGCATATACATGTCCGTTTTTTTCAGATTTTCTTCCATCGGTGTACTACCCCGCTCATTACTATCCCTACTCAACAGCAGCATATTTCCACCCATACAACCAACACTAACCACCGCACCTGGTATTGCCAGTGAGGGCAGCGGCAGTGGTGGTGGTGGTGTTTGTGCTATGGTGGAGGTGTCACCAGAACCTGACACCATGGCAAGTGTGCTGAGAGAACACGAGGACAAGCTGCAGAGCAATGAAATCGTCTTGCAGATATTAGCATTGTCAGGGTAAGACATGAGCTGCCATACACTGCCATACGCTGCTGTATTCGTGTGTACTGTATCTTCGGCAATACTGGCTGAGGTGCTGCCTAGTTTGCGAGCCCTGAAATTTCATCCAAGTTTGAAAATCCCCCCCCCCCCTCTCTCAAAAAATACCTGAAATGGCGTGGTGCTTATTTCAAAAAGGCGGCATTAACCTTGTGATCTTGTAGTTTGAGTATGATCTGCTCAAGCTGTCTACTGGCTGTTTTGAGCATCCACTTGGTTTGAGCAAGGATATACGACTTGGATGTCATGACATCAGATAAGCAACAGAATATGGCATCTGAGTCAAATTGGATCCCCCCTGCCCCCCCCCCCCCCCCCTGACAGTAACGAAGTACACCCAATCGCATTTCTCCAACTTTTTTTGCTGAACTACTGCACCCATACAAAACGATAAATGAACGGGAGTTTGTTTGATGGTACTTTGAAGTATGTAATGTATGGTTATTTTGCCCGTACAAGAGGCATTTGTGCCGCGATCCCAACAGAATTTGGTAATGTCCTGGTTTTGGGTAGTCGACAGCACACTCACACCAGATCAAGCAGTGGTGGCCGAGTGGTTAAGGCGATTGACTCGAAATCAATTGGGCTCTGCCCGCACAGGTTCGAATCCTGTTCACTGCGATTGTCTGTTTTTTTTTCTTCTCTCTTACTTTCTCTCCTGCTAGTTTCTCTACCCCCCCCCCCCCACTCCCCAACAAACATGGCTGTGCTCGATGTCTCTGCTACAAAATAATTGCGTTGTTGTGTTCTGCTTTTGTTGGGTTGTTGTTTAGATTTGAATCTAGCCCTCCTGGAGTTGTCTATTTTCAGTACCAGTTCTACGACTTCCCAACCACCGTGACAGACAGGTGAGTGAAAATGAAGGTTGTGCAGCAGGGATGAATTTATCCTGTATCGCATCGCAGTTTGCTATGCAAAATCGATCAACTGCTACTCAAAAGTCGCCGTGACTCGCAGAAAACTGCGATACAATCAGACCATCCATGCCTAGCCTGTACTGTCAAGTAACATGCATACAGTGCAGTATATGTGGTGCAGGCACTCTCAATCTGCGTGCACATGTATGATTCAGTCGCTTTTTGCAAATGGGCTTTCAGGCATCACTCTCAAGAAGGACAATGTGGTAAACACCCAACCTTGAAAGAAAAATGCTAATCAAAATCAAAGACTGCTACACAATTGTGATTTTGTATGGCAGAAACTGCTATGCAAAAATATGACAATAAATTCATCCCTGTGCAGTGTAAAGCTTTGTGCACAACTGTCTCTGGGGCATCTGGGACATTGAGGAGTGTACTCCAGCAACACTCATTGGTAGTTGGTCATTGTGCAAGTTATCAGATTAGGGGCTTGTGTGTCTGTGATTTGTTGTCATGGTAACGGTGGGCAGGTGTGAGTGCATATCAGCTGATGGCAGTGGTGATATACATCTACTGCGGAGAATACCGGGACAGCAACAACAACAGCATCAGCAGCACAGCAGGAATACGTATGGTGTTGAGGTAAGTAAAGTTCCATATAATAGTGCTGGGCCTGGGAGATGATAGCATGCAGAGAGACGACACTAGACCATACTGTACAGTCGGGTGCCAAAGAACTGGGGGGTCAGCCTCGTAGCCTAGACCGTTCTTATTTTCATGTACTACCGTCTTTGCAGAGTCGAGTCACCATGTATATATTGATATGCTGTGCTTGATGAAATCCTAGCCTGGTCGTTCCTCGGCACTCCGTTCTTCGGCACTTCGTTCTCTGGGACCCGGCAGTACTGTAGTGTCCGAAACGATATGCATTTCAACCCGAGCTTTGGAAGACGTTTTACCCGTGGTCTGTTGTGTATGGAACTTGCAATTGTAATCATAGCCTTGACCTGCCTATCCTAAGAATACTAGAAACTAGAAAGAGCATACTACTCAAAGAAACGTGAGCTGGTGTAGGTTATCATCGGATATGGAGATGAATGTCAAATGTCAGAGCTCAAATGTGTGCGTTTGTGTGTGTGTGTGTGTGTGCGTGCGTGCATGTGTGTGTATGTGTGTGTGTGTGTGTGTGTGTGTGTGACTGTGTGTGTGTGCGGGTGCGTTCGTGTGTGTCTGTATGTGTGTGTATCTGTGTGCATGTGTTCTTTGTCCTGGCTTTGTTCATGTACAGTCTCGCTACACTGTAGACTGGACAGCGGTGGACACTGCCGAACATTACATACGGTACTGCAACACGGCGCGTCTGCTAATTCAAATG